ACAATTCAAAGGTTTGAACTTCTGTTGCTAGGCATCCTGATCAAGAGACAGATTTTCTCCAAGTAATGGACACCTTTTTTTTTTTTTTTTTTTTAACAAACTTTGGTGATTTCTCCTTATTTCAATGATCTACCTCAGGTTTATTCAGGTTTCTAACACACTCAAAATCTATGATGAATTCTTAGAAACCTCTCTCTAGCTCTAGAATAAAGAAGATCTTACCTCTCTATTCTCAGGAGGAAGAAGAATGGACACAAAGCTAGAATGCTTAAGGCTTTCTGTCCTTGACATGGAAGATATCCCAGTTTTGTTGATAATTAAAGAAGCATTTTGGAGAGGAACAAACAATCTCTTTTTAGAGCATGCCATTCCTTCAGAATGGTCTCAAGTTCCTGGTCTCAAATGTGAATGGAGTATGTTTTGCTCTTTTTCTCTGGGGAATTAGGTGATCAAAAGGAAATTGAAGCCAGGTGCCAGTGGTTTACACCTGTAATCCTAAACTATTCAGAAGGCTGAGATCTGAGGATCACTGTTCAAAGCCTGTCCATGTAGGAAAATCTATGAGACCCTCCAGTTAACCACTAAAAAGCCAGAAAAGAAGCTTTGGTGCAAGTGATAGAGAACCAACTTTGAGGGGAATACAAAAACAAAAACACTCTGACGGTGCCTAGACCCTGCGTTCAAGCCCCAGGACCAGCACAAATACATAGAGAAATAGAAACAGGATCTGGTTAAACATGACAGTCTCTAATCACACCTATCTAACCTACACAAGAGAGTGACACTAAGATGGTAGGGGAAGAGCAAAAGTATGAAAATACATTCACTGTGGAAAGTGCTGAGCCCACAAGACCTGCAGCTGACCCTAGAGCTGAGAATTACGCCAGGGAGTTTCTGTGTATCTTCTCAAGTGTTAAAACACAGCACTTTAATTGTAAGAAGCCCAAATTTAATCAGCAAGTCCTCCCTCCTCTAGAAGAGGGAAGACTAATAAAGCTTTATCTCTTCACATATACCTTTTTTTTTTTTTAAAGGCAACAGTAGGTAAACAGTGTTCTTTTATTTTTGCCCATTGGCTCAATCCACAATGGGGGTGTGGTAGAACTATTCGGAGAAAAGGGAGGAGAAAAATAAAGAATGAAAGGTACGCTTGGAGCAGGAGACAGGTGGAAGCAATTTCTGGTGACCAGTCCCCACAACAGTAATTTATCACCACATGAAAATGTTGGGGAGTTAATCACAAGACTGTCATGTAGCAGCTCTGCACACTAGACTCAGCACAAAGCTTATGCTTAGAAAATGAAAATAATCAGAAGAACACACACAATTAAAAGGAGCTATCAGGGCCATAATCATAACTGTAAGCCAAGTTCCCTATACAAGGTCAGATGAATGCCATGTATTTTTTCACCCACTCAACCTACTGGAAGACTAGTGTGTCTGAGGGCAGTGTGTTATCGACAGCAGACAAATGCTGACACTCTGTTTTGAGTCTCTGCATGGCCTGTCATGAAAAACAAGGGCAACACAAGGTACATAGGCTCTAGTCCATGAATGTTAGCACTTCAGGAAAGCACTATGATCCTGCCAGCTGTAGTTTAGTAAGGGCTCAAGGCCTGGCTAGGTTCACCTTGCTGCCTTCCTCCCAGAAGTTCCCTCTTACCCCATTCAGATGGCTGGATCTCATCTGTCTCTCCCATATTTCCTTTGATCCAAACAATGGGATTAATAGCTCACAAGCAACCTTTACTTTTAAACATGTTCCTTCGGTGTTTTTTAAAGTGTTGTTAAGGTGTTTACTCAAAAGATTAAACAATTAGCTAGAAGAGAGCAATCAAACTGTTCAGTCAGGCAGATCTCAGACTCATGCAAACTTTGAGAGAGGATGGAATAACAGTTCCAAGAACTGTTTTTGTGGAAGAGAAGGAGGAACTGTGGACAAAAACTACAAGGGAGAAAAGAAAACTATGATTAAAATAAAAATCTCTTCATTGAAATATATAAACACCACAAATTACTCACATAATTATGGCAATTCTTCTTTCCTTTTCTAATGTGGATTCCTGGCAAAAGGAATCTGAACTCTACTGTCCCAGTTTTTTGTTTTGTTTTGTTTTGTTTTGAAGTAAAGAAATACAACTATTGTTTCCCAGAGTTTCAAGTTCTATTTCTGGAGGCTAAATTTAAGTTTTAAGAATGGTGGACCAAGAAATGTACTTATTACCTGATTTATGAAATGATAACCCCTCTGTATATCACCTTTATAGCAACAATTAAGAATGTTTTAAAGAATGGTGGGCCAAAAAAAGAGAATGTAGAGTTACACTTTGTAACATTTTTAAGCCTTACATCCTGGGTCGTTATTTATTTTCTATCTTCTTGAAGCTACTGGAAGGAAAACTGAAAGGTCTAGTAAGAAAACAGTTTCACTGGTAACAAGCCAAGTATATCCACTAATTTCCTCAGCAGTATGCCTGAGCTAGTAGTACACTTAATATATTCCTCAGCATGATAAATTAACAAGTATACCAAACCATAGTATTCCACTTTAGGAGCTTCAAAATGAAAGAAAAGCAAAAAGAGTTATTCGCAGAAAGTTAGTATTTACTTACCTACAGACCACGGAGGTAAGTGATGGTAAAGCAAAGTGGTTAGCAAAGCGCGTTTTCTTGGACGCTGATCTGTGTTCTATGCTGATAAGTTTCTACTGGAGTTTTTTCTCAGGTTTCTACTCAACAGAAGCACTGGCAACTGAAGACAGAAAACAGCCCATCACCACTGAATCAATTTATAGTAGCCAACAAATGTGCATTTTTCCTTCATTCATAATGAAAAAGTATACTGTATACCAAAGCAAACAGGACGCTAGTGGCTCAGGCTTGTACTCCTACCTACTCAGGGGGCTGAGATCTGAGGATCACAGTTCCAAACCAGCCAGGACCAAAAAGTCTTTGAGAGTCATATCCAATCAACAAGCTAAAAGCCAGAGGCAGAAGGATGGCTCAAGTGGTAAGCACCAGCCTTGAGTGAAAAAGTTCAACAGGAGCTGGAGGCCTTGATTTCATGCAGGCACATGCATGTACATACACGGTGTACGCATACACACGCAGTGTACACCAAGGAACCTTGCTACAGCAACGCACCCTCAGGGTGTCTTAATCTTAAGACAAGATAGCCAATTCCACCTGAAATTTGGTGAAATCCAGAATGTCCTTTTTATTTCAGTCATTTCTCACATGTTATCTGAAAAATCAGATGAATTGTAAACAGGTTTGTTCTCTCATGAAATAAATGTAGGTAACAGGTGCCTGTTTATCACATACAGGGATCAAGCTACCTACTTAGCTGAGAGATGCTAAATGTGTGTGTGGTACAGATGGAAAATATTTATTTTCTAGGAATGTAAGTTATGTGAAAGCCCACCCAGTCTTGTGTGTATGTTTGTGTGTGCGTGTATTTTAAAACATAGGTGACGTGGTTTTCAACTACACATTGCGAATTCACAATCTCACTTAATTGTAGTGATAGTTGTTTTTGGTTTTTTTTTTTTAAGAAAATAAAGTCAAAGAAGGGAACGGTGAAAAGCAGGGAAACTTTTCCCCCTCAGGGCTTTCCCTGGTTAACCAGGAGGCAATGCTGAAGCTGGCCCACACCACGACGATCCCAGGCTCCAGGCAGACTCGGCTCCGTCTGCTAAACTTCCAGCTTGGAGCTGTTCGACACAGGGAGAACCAGGTTCTCCACAGGTGGGGAGAAAAGCGTCCCACCCGCGGGGGCCGGGGCCCAGGGGAGCAGGAGAGGTGGCGTCCCGGCCCAGTCTTCCCTTCCCTTCATCAAGTACTTTTCCTGCTGAAGTGCCCTGCAGAGTGCGGGCTGGGGACTGCCAAACGAGCTCCTTCCAGGCTGAGAGGTTGGGTTCCTCATGGTTTCCCCGCCCCAGCCTGGTCCCTACCCACCCGTCCACCCTCCACGTCCACCTACGTCGACCCGGAGCGCTATTGCGCGCGCTCGCGCGCACACACACGCGCGTGCACACACACACGCGCTCGCACAACCGCACACACACGCACACGCGCACACGCGCGCGCGCACACACGCGCTCGCACAACCGCACACACACACGCGCGCACACACACACGCACACGCGCGCGCACACACGAACACGCACACCTGCCAGGGTAGGGTCCCACCCTAGATGTTGCCAACGGTGGGTAGAAAGTACCCCTGGGAGCCGCAGAATGGAGGAGAAAACCAGGCGAGGGGAACCAGTGCAAGCCAACTCCCCCACGCAGCACGGGGGTCTCCTCCATCCGGGCTCTTGAGCTGGGGAGATCGCCCCCCCCCCCCGCACCCGCGCAGCGCCGCGCCACCAGCGCGGTTCCCATCCCGCCTCCCCCGCCCCCCGACTCCGCCCGGCTCTCTGCGGGAGGACGGGTGGTGGGGGTGGGGAGGACGCGCGCTCCGCCCCGTTCCCCGTCAGCCAATGGGAATCCGGGCCGCTCAAGCCCGTCTCCGCCCCCACCAGGGGAAACTTGTGCGGGGGAGAAAAGTTTGTACAGAAGCTGCCTAGCGGAGCCGCCGGAACCCCAGCCACGAAACCCCGCCGCACGCGAGGAAGATGAACAGCCCCAGGTCCGAGCCCCAGGCCGAGCGCACACCGAGCCGACCCCGGGGCGCCGCGAACGGCCTCCGCGCCAGCCGCCAGCTGCGGTAGCCGTCCGTGCTCGCCCGCCGCCGGGCGGAGGAGGGCGGCCGAGCCGAGGACCGACGCTGCGCGCCACCTGCTCGCGCGGCCGCACACCTGGACGCTGCCCGGGGAGGGCGGGCGGGCGGGGGGCGGCGCACCGCCTCTGCGGGCTCGCTCGGCGCCCAGGCTGACACTCACCGCAGAAGAGAGAGGAAGGGAGGGGGGGGGCGCAGATCAAAGAAGAAACCCCAGCCCCGTCTGGTGTCGATCCCCCCCCCGACGTCCGGCTTGGCTCTTCGCGTTCTTTGAAGCTCATCGCAGTCCCGGAGCCTCCCTTGGCAGTTCCTGAAAGCCGGCTCGGAGCGGGCCGAAGGCTTGGCGAGGTCCTCGGTGAGCGAGGGGCTGGAGTGGGGGGGGCAGAAGGCGGGCTGGAGGAGGGCTGAACGCGGTGGGGGGTCCCCGGGGTGCAGCGCGCTCCAGGTGAGACGGCCAGGAAGCCACGGGAGGGAGGGGGAGGGTAGACAGCGTGGGGGCCGGGCGCGCCTACGGGGGACCCGACGCTCGTCCATCCCTTGAGAACGAGTCTGTCGGGAAGATCATCACCGAGCCGCTCCCCCCCCCCACGCCTCCCCCCCCACCACCCCGAGATGCTTGGGCGCTAGAGGGAGTTGGGCTGGGTGGCTGAGGCGGGAACGGCAGTGATCGGCTGATACATATTCATGTCCGCCCAGGGGTGCTGCTGGCTGAGAAAGGAGCCCCGGGGGGGTGGGGGGGGAATCTGGCTGCGGATCCGAGCGCCGGGTGCCCTCGCTCCCCGGGTCTCCGCCCCCCCGTGGGAGTGCTGCCCAGCCAGGACTCCGACCCCTTGACGGTGGTCGTTTCTGCTCACAGCTTCTCCCTCCTCCCCCCTCACCAGCCCCAGACCGAACTCGCCCCGCACACGCCCGGGTCGCCCCCACGCCGCCGCCCGCCGTCATGTCCACGGCCGGGGGCAACACGTCCGCCTCCTCGTCCGCGGCCGAGCGGCTCAACAGCCCGGTGACCATCCCCGCGGTGATGTTCATCTTCGGGGTGGTGGGGAACCTGGTGGCCATCGTGGTCCTGTGCAAGTCACGCAAGGAGCAGAAGGAGACGACGTTTTACACGCTGGTGTGCGGCCTGGCGGTCACCGACCTGCTGGGCACGCTGCTCGTGAGCCCGGTGACCATCGCCACCTACATGAAAGGCCAGTGGCCCGGGGAGCAGCCGCTGTGCGACTACAGCACCTTCATCCTCCTCTTCTTCGGCCTGTCGGGCCTCAGCATCATTTGCGCCATGAGCATCGAGCGCTACCTGGCCATCAACCACGCCTACTTCTACAGCCACTACGTGGACAAGCGGCTGGCCGGCCTCACGCTCTTCGCCGTCTATGTGTCCAACGTGCTCTTCTGCGCGCTGCCCAACATGGGCCTGGGCCACTCCCAGCGCCAGTACCCGGGCACCTGGTGCTTCATCGACTGGACCTCCAACGTGACGGCCTACGCCGCCTTCTCCTACATGTACGCGGGCTTCAGCTCCTTCCTCATCCTCGCCACCGTGCTGTGCAACGTGCTGGTGTGCGGCGCGCTGCTCCGCATGCACCGCCAGTTCATGCGCCGCACCTCGCTGGGCACCGAGCCGCAGCAGCACCACGCGGCCGCCGCCGCCGTCTCGGCGGCCTGTCGGGGGAACCCGGCCGCGTCCCCCGCCCCGCCGCGCGTCAGCGACTTCCGCCGCCGTCGGAGCTTCCGTCGCATCGCCGGCGCGGAGATCCAGATGGTCATCCTGCTCATCGCCACCTCCCTGGTGGTGCTCATCTGCTCCATCCCGCTGGTGGTGAGTGTCCTGGGGGAGGCGAGGAGGGAGGAAGGGAGGGGAGAGACCTGCTCCACCCGCGCCCCCCCCCCCCGTGTGGGTTCCATACTCTCGGGGACCGTCCCTGCTGGCCTTTCATCTTCTCGGAGCTCCCCGGGCTCGCTGGGTGAAGAGCGAGAGAGCAACCGCGCAGAGGCTGCCCGGTGTCAGGGGTGCCCATCTCCATGTCAGGTTCTGGGGGTGCTTCTTGCATTCTGTCGCTCTGTAGAGCTAGAAGAGAGATCGGGTGCTTTTCAGTCTAGTCTGACTCCTTCACTGCCCCAGAGGAAGGGAGCCGCCGGCTGAGGGCAAGCCCCCCCCAAGCTGCTGCTCTGCGTTCCCAGTCTTCTGGGAGGGCATCTTAATGCACACAAATGATCATTCCTGTGTGGAGTGTGGCCCACACCCAGGGTTCCTTGGTCTTTCGATATATCAGGAAGCAAGGGTTTCTTGAGGGTCCTTTCTGGACAGGCTGATGTGCATGGGGTATGAAATTTGAATTCTCAGCAACCCCAAGGAAAGTTCCCTATGTTTATAGAGAAACTGAGGTGGAGGGATAGTTCTTATTTATTGCCGAGTCAGAGAGAGTCCTGTGGTTTGCAGGGTCTAAAGTTTATCCAGCGCCAAACCCTGCTCCTGTATCTCACATCCTGTAATCCTGCCACCTGTGTATGGCTTCTAGAACATTGCTCAGTTGGGCCTTCACTCAGCGACGGTAGGAGTTTTAGTACATTTCTTCTTAAGGGTAACACCCTCTTTAAAATTGCCATTGAGTTTGCTAAAATATTGTGAGCAGAAAAGTTCAAACTCCTGCTAGTTTTTCCACTTTGCCTATGCATTATCAGATTGCACACTCATGCACGCGTGCACGCATACACACACACACACACACACACAAAACAGATGGGCAAATGAACGCAATTTTTCTTAGAATTTATCTTGAAAGCCACTAGTTTGTAGTTTTTTCGTCTCTCAAAACACTACCTTCCTGGGGATTTTAAACTACCAACTGAGGATTTGATAAAGTACCAACTCAATAAATGTAATGGACTATTACTATTTTCTTTCTTTTATTAATACTGTCCAGGGAGCTTTGATGTAAAAATATTCTATCTCTGCTGAAAGTGAAGGTACATGGAAGAACTCAGCAATGGCAGAGCACCAGCTTACAGTAGCTTCTTGCAAATTTGTATAAACAGAAGTAAATATAATTAACCAGAGGAGCCTTCAAGCCCTTCCAGAGCCAATGCACTTTGCAGAGTTAAGTCACACTTGAGTCACATAAATATATTTTACTGTCTATAAATGTCATTTGCTTTATCTTGTTACACAGAACAGCGTGAGATTTTGAGGGAGTCTTAGGTTTTGACAAACACTAAAGTGACAAACTGAATGTGTGTTATTTCCAGAACATTCACTTGGAGGTACTGAGGACTTAGGGCTAGGAGGCTAGCAACATGCACATAGTTTCTAAAGGCTTTGGTTCCCACACAGCCACCAAGGAAGTTTTTCCTTTTGCATCTGAGGATTCTTTAGCATCTGTTGATTGAAGTGGTAGACCTGGCTGGAAGGCCATTTGTGACAGTCTCCAACATTATTTGACTATCCAGTAGTAATAAATGGTTGCAATTATATTTCTCATTTGCCAGTTGGCATTTTCCTGAACAAAAATACCCTGAAAGCCTGTTAGTAACGTGTGCTAAACTTTAAGTAATCTCAAACTGCAATTTGACCACTTGTACTTTGTGAGAAGTTTTAAAAAAATCATAGAAATAGGAGTGGCTTCAGTTTTGAGCCTTTACTTTGGATTACTAAAATCTCATTTCACAATCACTTTAAATGTAAATTAATGGTAAGCAATGGTGCATAACCCTGCCCACCTACACACCCACAATTCAGCAATTACTGAAAGAATCAGAAGGGAAACTTATTCACAGTTGTCATCTTCCTTGGCTTGCTTTTAAAACTTTGCTTCCCTCTTCCCCACATTTTGAAAGTTTCTGAAGTAGCTCAGATTTAAAGCAGTTGTACTTGTTCTGAATACCTCAGGCCCCATTGAATGGATCCCATTTGAGGGAAATCAGAACCTTTCAATCATTTTAAAGGATTTTAAAGGGCTGCTAGTCCCCCAAATATAGTTTCCTTGGAATTTCAGAAAGCTTGACACAATGTAGAAGAAAAGCAAATAACAATAGAAACAGAGTCAAATTTTTGTGAACTTTGCCCAAGAAAGAGGCTCTTTAAGTGACTCTTGAAGATAGTTGATATTGAGTTTATTATAAAAAGTAAAATTTAATTTGTATCATATATATATATATATATATATATATATATATATATATATATATACCTCATACATCAAGCTGATATTGGCATGGAAATTTGAGAAAGGTTGAGGAATCAATTATGAATAAAAGGAATATTGTTTAAACCTACAGAATTCTCTGAAATGAGAGAAAGCAATGAGCAGAGGATCTATAAATAATATTACATGTCCACATGTAAGAGGAAGATGATTCTTGTCATTTTGGCCCACTTTTCTATTTGCAGCTGGTCTCGGAATTTTTTTAAACAGAGCAGAAGCTGAAGAGCTGCAAGTATATGCTTAAGATAAATAAAAGATATTGCATTTTTTAGGAACAGAGCAAGACAGTCTCTTAAAAGCTCTGTTATTAAATACTGCAGTTTAATTTTTGGTGTGCAATTTTATAGTTACAATACTACTGCTAACATGAGAATTATAACCAGATCTTTGGCCTCTGGACTGAACTGTTATGTGTTATGATTCAGAAAGCATTGTTGCCATGCACAGTCAAGGCAAGGCTATGTTTATTACTAATTTGCTTCTTTTCTTTTTCTGAACTATTTTCTTTTAGAAGTGGGATGGCTAATTTGCTTTTATCTTCCACTTTGGTCACGTAAACTTTAAATCTTTAAGAAAACAGCTTCCTGGGGGTATTTACTGAGCTACTTACTATAAACTAGTCATCCCTATAAAGACATCACAAGCAAAAGCTTACAGAAGCAGACGAAAACTATACATAGGTACTTTGGTGGAAGTGGGGGCCATTAGATAATTGAATCGATGTCAGCTGAGGGAAAGTCATTTCAGTGCCTAAAAGTCATGCAGTAAGTTTGGGTACAACTACAGAAGAATCCAAAGGGTTTGGTTACTTTTATTATTAATTTGAGTAAGTTTTTAAAAATTACAATTCCTTGAAGCAATGTTTTTAGTTATAATATGAAATTCTAGCCCAAATAGTAGTACCTTAAAGACTGCAGAGGAACATAAAAGTAAGGTATTTCCACATCCGATAGCTCATTGGAATCTTGAAAAGCTCCAGAAAGGAAGTAGATAGACCAGTGTTTTATTTTCCTCTAGAATTTAGAGTTTTCTACTAACTACAAAGTTGTAGGTTTAAAAACCAAATAAATCTGCATTGTAGACATTTACCAATAGTTTAAGGAACTTGCCTTCAAGTATGTGGCTAGTTAGAGATCCAGTAGGAACAAAAAATGAGGTGACTTACCCCAGCACCCAGCCCAGAACATTTTCCATTATCCTTTAAGAAGAAAAAAGTAGTGCTAAGAACTAGTAGCAGCTGTGTCAATTCTGGACTCTCCACAAAGTGGTGATAGAACTGAGCATGCCCAGATAATTCTTTTCTGTGCTTGGAGCAGTGAGGTAGCATAAAAGCACAAATCTAGCTGCAGAAGTATTGTGAATGTTTTAGAAAAGAAGGAAGGAAGGAAGGAAGGAAGGAAATCCTTATTAATATTTCAGCGTTCATTTTTTCAATCAGTGTTCCATGCAAACATATGTAAGCATGAAGCTTGTGTTTTTATGTTTTTTTTAATTTTATTGTCAAGGTGATGTGCAGAAGGGTTACAGGCTTGTATTTTTAATACCATGTCACTAACCATACTTTAAAGCTATCCTTTACCTGAAGTTTTAAATTATTAGAATATTCCCCTGTGGTCAAGTTTTCCTATGTAGGTTACAAGAGAGAATATATATGTTCCCTTCCAGCAATTTTGCTAATAAGCACCCAAAGAATGTGTGCAGAGCTCAGGCAGAATTTGAGCAGAGGTTTGCTGGATTACAACACTGGGTGTTTACCTGTACAGCTTATATCTCCTCTTGTAACTTTCCTGAATTTCACCTTCTTGGAAATCTATCAAATGCTCCTCAAGTTTTATTCCAGATTTCTTAAGCCTCAATGTCTGGTTATTGTCAAGAATTTTAGAATACTGACAAGGAATTACATGCTTACTTCTGCAGCTACTACCAAAAAATAAATAAATAAATAAATAAGGACTCACTTTCAAACTGGAAGAAAGTAGTAGTGTTTATATTCCGTGCATGTTTTAGGATATTTTCCCCTCTGACTCAGAGGGTTATTTTTTTAATTAGTAGCCCACTCTTCCAAAACTGAAAGCTGCCTGAACTTGTTTATTTGTGTAACATATAGAGGCTGTTAGACAAGAATTCCCATATGAAATTGAAGAAGTGATGTTGTGCATATTTTCATTTCAAAGCTCATCTGAGTCCCTCTCCCTTTGGGGAGAGGAAATCAAGTCACTCTTGTAAAGTAATGCAGAGTTTGCTGTGTTTATTCATGCATTACAAAATGCATGATGTTTTTATTAGTTTTTGTCTTTAACATTCTTTGCACAGAGAATACTGTGCAAAGCAAAGCTCACTAATATTCTTTTCAAGTAGTCCCACCAATTTTTTTTTCAGTCGTAGGGCCTGAACTCTGGGCCTGGGCGCTGTCCCTCAGCTCAAGGCTAGTGCTGTACCACTTGAGCCACAGTGCCACTTCTCACTTTTTCTGCTTATGTGGTGCTGAGAATTGAACAGGGCCTCCTGCATGGAAAGCACGCACTCTACCACTGAGCCACCTTTCCAGCCCCAATCTCACCAATTTTGACAAGGTTTTTCCCTATATTTAGAATTTTAGGGTGTGTACTCATCCTTCTGTTATCTTGTAAACTCCCCTTTACTAATACAAATGAAATGATCCATCATGGTATTTTGCAGTATTGTAAGATACTCCCTCCATGAAATGCTAATCTACAGCATTTTTGTTACAGCTTTCTTTCATTCCCTTCTGTAATGGTCATAATTAATTACCACTGTGAGTGTAGGGAGCACAGGTGATTCCTTCCTGGCTCTTATCACCTTTACTTACAAAAACCCATTACCTTTTTGCAATAACTGTGACTTTTCTAAAAGATCACAGAAATTTATAAAATAACACCTTGTATTCTATTTTAACTGTTCAGAAAATTCTCTCCCTTCAGGGTTCCTTTGACATTGGTGTAGAAAATTATCCAGAAACAATTAAAAATCTTACAGGTGCAAAGTGTGAGTATTCCAGTCTGAGTCTTGGAAATGGCTGTTGAAAGGGCATCCTAGGGGAGAGGAATATACTAAGGACTCCTAGCTGGAGCAACACTGCCACCTCCAGGCCATACATCTCTAGTTCACACAAACTGCCATAAAACTGATGCTAATAGATTTAAATTCATCATTCCTTTTGCCCTTTGGAGCATAATATGGGGTGTGAATAAAATTCTAGACCTCATGAATTTTAACAAGTTCTCAAAAATAATTCTTAAACAGAAATCTATTCTAGTGACCACCGAAACTCACCATCAAATTCATGCCAGAACCTGGGTCTGAGACCAAACCTTATCACCAACAGAGGGAGATCTTGACAAGGTCAAAACCCCAAGTCTCAGCACCATATCTGAGAAAAGTCTTATCTTCCAGCCATCTCTTAGGGCCTTGAATAGCTTCTGGAAGGGAGAAACCAAGATGCTTGGGTTTTACTAGGTTTTGTTGTCACTACTTTGTTGTTACTGTTTGTGTTGTTAGCTGTTGTTACAGTTTTAAGTATGCTAAAGCACTTCTTCACCTAGAAATAGCCCCAACCCAGTTTTTACTCATTTGTCTAAAGTTTCTTTTAAGCCATATATTTTGTCTTTGTTATCATGTATTCTAAAATCCTTTATTAATGCATCATATACAGTTGTTTATTCCAATTCGTTTCTACCCATTTTTCAAAGACCAAGATAATAAATCATTTGGCCACTTTATATTATGAGAATTATAGGGCCATGATTCCTTTCCAAAAGTCTGTAGAACCAGAAATGTTTCAGAATTTCTTGTTGTGTGGGTGTGAGGGGGTTGAGGTGGGGGGGGGGGTAGAGGGGTTGGTTCAAGGCCTCACTGTATAGCCTAAGCTGGCCTTGAACTCACAGTTCTGCTGCCTTTGCCTCTTGAGTACTAGAATTACAGTTACACATCACAAGATATGACAAAATGTATAGTAGTCCCAGAAGAACTGGAGCAACACAGGAATAATCACTCTAAGTAGAATAACTGACACTAACACCATCATAACTTGTTCAACTTAGGTTCTAATGCCAAGTTTAGGTTTGGCTTTGCAGTCAAGTAAGTTCCCAAAACAAAGAAAAAAAATTATCAAACAATAACAACAATGTCTTAATGAAGTATTTATTGGTGGACCTGTATCTGACTGCGATCTGAATTTCAGTTATTGAAGAAACAGATACTTAGATCATTGATCAAGCATCATCCAGGAATAATCTTCTTAAAAATTGACTTTTGCAGATTAATGAAAATTATTTCTTTAAAATATTTTTGCTGTCTTCTTTTATCTAAATTGCTGTAAGTTTTTCTAAAATATTCCTATCCTTTCCTGGTGATTCATATAAGATGAGTCATTAGTTATTACACTCTATGATAAAGCAATAAGGTCCTGAAGTCTTGTTAAAGTTAGAAATGTTTGATTCTAATTTACAGATTGAAGGTCTAGCCATGCTGTTGTGAGTTGTTCTTTCTTTTATTTTCCCTAAGATTTCCTTCTTATTTCTCTCATACCTAAAATAATTAACAAAAACAATCACTAAAGACAAATGACAGTGATCTCAAAGCTACCTTTTATACAAACTACAGGTTGCATCTTTAAGTAATCCTATTGTAGTTAGAAAGTCTAGGTAAAATAGAGCGAGGGGTAAGAATCAATGTGTGAGTTATTGTATTGACACATCTTTTGTGCTAAGGAATATAATGTCAGACTTTAAGTTTACACCAACCCATGCTCTTTTCAATGAATGACTTCCAGAAGGTGATGTATCATTTCATACCTCTGTGACTGCACATAGAACTTGCTGCAAAGTATTACTTACTTCTGAGTTTAACAATTCTCACTTACCCAACAAAATTCAGTGCTGAGAGAAGACATGTAGGTAAAAAGTACAGTTTGGTGGCTGAAGTCAAATTATCTTTAAGAAGAAATGCAGCTGGAGAAAAGGGGCTGGGGAAGAGTTTGGGATAAAGGAATGATTGTTGACTTGAGATAATTACTCTACAGGGGGAAAACAAAAACTACGAAAGCCAAAATTAAAAACACATACTATGTTCTAGTAGTTCTAGATGGTAGGAGATTCTGATGTTGGTTCAAAAGTTTCAGCAGCCAGGCACCGGTGGCTCATGCCTATAATCCTAGCTACTCAGGAGGCTGAGATCTGAGGATTGGAGTTGGAAGCCAGCCCAGGTAGATTCTTATCTCTAATTAACCACTCAAAAACCGGAAGTGGCTCTGTGGCCCTAAGTGGCAGGATGCTAGCCTTGAGCACAGAGAGACTCAGTGACAGTGCCCAAGCCCTGAGTTCAAGCCCCACGACCAAAAAAAGCAAAGTTTACAGCATATTCTGTGTACACACACAGAATACATATGAATGCATATGTATATATGTATGTATGTGTGAATGTATATACACATATATGCATGTGGTGTATACACATTTATATGCATGTGTCTATATTTTGGCTGATTGTGTCAACTGCATTTTTCTTGTCACTTACCAAAGACAGTAGTTGAGGTTGCCAGACGTTCCTTCACGCTTCCCAAGTTGTTTTAACGATCCAGTCTCAACGCGGGCGTGTCACTCACTCCGCAGGTGCGCGTGTTCATCAACCAGTTGTATCAGCCCGAGGTGGTGCGCGACATCAGCAAAAACCCAGACCTGCAGGCCATCCGGATCGCCTCGGTGAACCCCATCCTGGACCCCTGGATATATATCCTGCTGCGGAAGACAGTGCTGAGCAAAGCCATCGAGAAGGTCAAATGCCTCTTCTGCCGGCTGGGCGGCGGGTCGCGCCGGCACCCCCCGGGCCCGCCGTGCTCCGAGAGCCGCAGGACGTCGTCGGCGCTGTCCAGCCACTCGCGCTCCTTCCTGGCCCGCGAGCTGAAGGAGCTCAGCAGCACGTCCCAGACGCTGCTGTACCTGCCCGACTTGGGCGAGAGCGTCCTCGGGGCCAAGAACCTGCTGCCGGGCGTGCCCGGCGGCGCGGGCCTGGCCCACGGGGACCGCGCGTCGCTGAGGACCTTGCGGATGTCGGAGACCTCGGACTCCTCCTCCCAGGGCCCCGACTGCGAGGGCGGCGTCCTGCTGGCGGCGGAGGAGGTCGGAGGACCCAGCCGGGAGGCGCCCGCCCCGAAGGGCAGCGCCCTCCAGGTCACCTTTCCCAGCGAGGCACTGAACTTATCCGAGAAATGTATATAGTCACGAGCGGGGGGGGGGGGGGGGGGGGAGCGGGGGACGGCGCCCCGCACTGTCCTGGGACTAATGATTGATCCTGTGCAATAGACACGCCCTGGAAGCACTTAGCACGCTCAGAGGGGCTCGGCCTGCAGCGCGCACACTAGAGAACGGTCGGGCTCCTGAGCACTTTCCCAGCGATCCCGTGGAGGGACACGAGTCCAAAGGCGGTGGGGACTGTCACCCTGCGTCGCGTGGGGAGGGCGGTCACACCTTGATGGCTGAGCCATCCAGGGATGCCTTTTTTTTTTATTTTTCATGACACCAAGAACTTCTCGTTGGCACACATCAGAGGGCTCTAGGCCAATGGACTGTGGCTGATTGAAGTGTCTCACTAAACGCATGAAATGTGAATTTTTATCATTGTAAATATGGTTTAAGGTATTTAAAGTACGTTCTTCTCCGTGAGAAGGTTTATTGTTCATACAAGGTATAATTAAACGATGGTAACCCCTCTCGTCAGCGTAACCAGCTAAAGTTGCCAATGTTGTTGGTTTTGCTTTCTGTTCCTTTCTCCATACACAACCGAGGAATTTGTGGAAGATTTGGTGAAATGAATATCTATAAAATAGATGTTTCTAAGAGTTTGGTATTATTGAAAAAAATAAAAGATATTGTTTAATATGTGAGAATTGTAGTCTAAACTGTAATTATTTCGATGCTATGTAGAATAGCTTTTAAAAAAAGATTTTAGTGTCGTTCCCTTTATTTATCCAGAGAATTGTGATTTCAGAACTTAATGCCCTGGTAAATATTTTCAGTGTTAGTCTCCGCTAATTGGTACTTTATAAAATATAATGTAAATTTTTTCAACCCTTTTGTAGTTTCCCCATAATTGAAGTGTATAATACAAAAACTAAAAAGTCTAGGCAGGTTTTTCTCCCCCTGACAGTGTGCATAGTCTTATGTGCCTGAGGAATGACCTAGAACATCCTTTGAAATGTCAGAGGAAGACAAGTCCTACAAAAACCTTTGAGATGTGGGAGGAGCGTGGGTGTGGTTAGATTCATAGCACTTACTTGTCAGAAGGGTTGATCAACATAAGGTTCAGCACTTGCACACTTCAGGGTCACCTCACTGTTTGGGGTGATTCCCAGTAAGCTGCACAGATATTTGGAGAACTTTTCTCAAAGAATATTAAGCATGTTTTGTTCCTTAGAGTGTTTTTGTGAATTGCTTGGTTGTGATACAGTTTTGAGCCTGGTAATGATGATGTTAAGAAGCAGTTGTAACAATTGAAATTATTTTGGAGATGACAATAAATAAATGCATTCAATGAGTTCTCTGTCCTCAGTTTTGCTTACTCTTTTTTTTTTTGGGGGGGGGGAGGAGGGTTCGGTTGTGGGGCCTGAACTCTGGGCCTAGGCACTGTCCCTCAGCTCTTCAGCTCAAGGCTAGCGCTCTACCACTTGAGCCACAGCGCCACTTCCAGCTGTTTTCTTATGTGGTGCTGAGAAATCGAACCCAGGGCCTCAGGCATGCAAGGCAAGCGCTCTACCACTGAGCCAACTTCCCAGCCCCTGTCCTCAGTTTTGAAAAACTTGTATGGCTTTGTTTGTCTGAAGTCATCTTCAATATCGTTTGAATTTTAATTTTTATTCTGGAATGATTTTAAATTATTAGTAAATTGCAGGAACAGAAGAAAACATTGGATGAACTTACTGGAGAATGTTATTTAGAAATAATCATTTGAAGGATAGCCTGCATGAGTTATCCACAAAGTGTATGAAAACAGGTGCTGGACTACATTCAAACTTGCTATGGCTGAAATCAAACTTGGGATTCTCCAGCCTTGCCTATCAAGTGTTGAGATTGTACAAGTATATCATTAATGATTGGATGGGTCTGGGATACCTTCATTTTCAAAAAAGCTCCTGGATGAGACTCCTTCCAGTATTAGGACATACTCAACTAGCAATAATTCCTAGAAATTATTTGCAAGTTTTAAAGACCTTTTAAAAGATTTATATATATATATATATATATATATATATATATATATGCACATATAGACACACATGTACATATACATACATGAGTTTTTTGAGCTAGGGTCATGCTATGTATGTTATAGGTCAGGCTGGACTAAAACTCATGATTTTCTTGCCTCTTCCTCCTAAGAGCTGCTTACAGGTGTGACCCATCATGCCTAGCTAGATATTTTGGAATGATATCAGACAAGCAGGATTGGCATCTTCATAGACCTACTGGCACTGTGATTCTTTGCTAAGGAAAGGAAAGTTCAGGAAAGAGACATGAAGCTTAAACTTCTAGAAGATCTTTTTTCACCATTTTTGGTGACTCCTAAAATAGCAATATTTTTGGAGAATGAGGTGTGAATGGGATTTTGTTTTGCCTCCAGGAACATAAGCAACAGGAACTACACCTAGACTTACATATACATGAATATACATACAGCCATCACCACATTCGTGGGAGAGAAAAATGGAAGTCTCATGAGTAAGCTCTATGAACACCCAAAAAATCTTACCTGTATTTCAGATTCTGTCCAGAACACTAATTTAGCTTAATCATTTTTCTTTACCAGAATATTCCTGTTATGAAATTTATCCTTGCAAGACTATGGATCCTTATTCTGCCAAAGCTATATGAATATTTGTAATATCACTCATGGGTCATACAAAACATACAAATACAGTCCAAGCAGACAAGACACACCGACAATAAGCATGCATACCTGTCCTGTCATGTACCAAATGTCTGTCTGTGGGCCTTATATGGCCCACAGGCTGGACAGCTTCCACCACTGCGTTAAAGTACATACCCACTGGATGCAGGCTCAGGCCTGTAATCCTAACTACTCAGGAGAAGGAGATCTGAGGGTCACGGTTCGAAGCCAGGCAGGGCTTTGAGACTCTTATTTCCAATTAACCACCAGAAAACTGGAAGTGACACTGTGCCTCAAAGTGATTGAGCACTAGCCTTGAGCAAAGATTTCAGGGACAGTGCCCAGGCCCTGAGTTCAAGCCCCATGACTGATTAAAAAAATAAACATATCCTTCAAAATGTATTAGTAGCCGGGCGCTGGTGGCTCACGCCTGTAATCCTAGCTACTCAGGAGGCTGAGATCTGAGGATCGCGGTTCAAAGCCAGCCCAGGCAGGAGAGACCGTGAGACTCCTATCTCCAATGAACCACCAGAAAACCAGAAGTGGTGCTATAGCGCAAGTGGTAGAGCGCTTGCCTTGAGCTGAAGAGCTGAGGGACAGCGCCCAGGCCCAGAGTTCAAGCCCCATGATCGACCAAAAAAAAAAAAAAAATGTATTAGTACCATTCCTATTTTTGTTTTTTATTAAATCTTGCACAAAAAATGTATTAGTATTCTTACAAAGTTATGAATTATCCCTGCCACCTAATTCCACAACATTTTCATCAACTCAAAAAGAAACCACATGCCCATTTGCAGCTAATTTCCCATTCTCTTCCCTAGGCCCTGGCAAACACCATGTATCTATGGCTGTTATCTGTTCTAGTCTAGACATTTAATACAAATGAAATAATGTATGTAGTTTTTTGTGTCTGGCTTCTTTCACTTAGAATAATGTTTCCAAGGTTGATTTATATTGCAGCATGAATTAGTACTCTGTCCCATTTTTTTATGGCTGAATTATCCTATATCCCTGATCCACTACATTTCATTTATCCAATTTCACTTTTTTCTACATCTTTGTCAATACTTATCTTTATATTTTTAAAGTTTTTAACTATATATTTGTTATTTGCAAATAGTTGTGCAAGGGAGATACAATTTAATGTCCATTTATTTGTATAATTCACTTTGATTAGTCACCCCTTCAATAGGCCCCTTCTGCCTATCAGTCTATCACTCTCACCAAGCTTTCTACTGTTTTTCTTATTACAGCCATCCTTGCGGTGATAGGATCTCACTATGGCTTTTATTTGCATTTCCCCAATGACTAATGATATTGAGGACCTATTCACACGCTTATAGGCTAGTTGATTGTTTTCTTTGGGGAAGTATCTATTCAAATCCCCTATTCATTTTCAGTTGAATTGTGTGGATAAGGCTGCCACAATAAGTTACCACAGATTGGGTGGCTTAAGCAACATAAACTTACATTCTTGCAGTCCTATAGGCCAGAACTCCAAAATCAAAGTGGTTTTGGTCTCTCTCGAGACTTGTCTACCTTCTCAATGTGGCCTCTGGGTCCTCTTCTAGGTTTTTGTTTTGTTTTGTTTTTTGGGTCCGGTTGTGGGGCCTGAACTCTGGGCCTGGGCACTGTCCCTCAGCTCTTCAGCTCAAGGCTTGAGCCACAGACCACTTCTGGCTTTTTTCTTTTTGCTTATGTGGTGCTGAGGAATCGAACCCGGGGCCTCGTGCATGCAAGGCAAGCACTCTACCACTGAGCCACCTTCCCAGCCCCTCTTCTAGGTCTTTGTGTGGATGCATAGTTCAAGTTTCTCTCTTTCTCCATAAAAAGACACCTGGGCCTACTGGAGAGAGCTTCAGCCTTACAACCTCACTTGACCTCAGATACATTTTTCAGGTTTTACTGCCAAAGGTAGTAATATTGAGGGGTTCAACAAATGAATATGGGGAGAGCACATAATTCAGTCATTGTATAGCCAGTCTATATTAAACTTAGAACAACCAAAAGAAAATAATTTCAATCCTTCTCCAGTCATCAATTTCATATTTAAGACTTAACAACTATGCAAGTATTTTTGTTTTTGTTGTTCTAAGTTCCTGCAGCAGGACACTTGTTCAAATCATTTACAGTGGCTTAAATAGTCTATGCAAGAAAATTCTAATTGTCTGACTGACTACTGTTAAATACTACTTGCTCCCAATAGGATACGTTAGAAAAGATGGTGGGTCTGCTATTTTTCATGAAATAGAACTTTGACCAGAAGGTAAAGTCATCAATAGTTCATTCCCAATGACCGTCATCTCTCTCCATAGATTTCTGTTTGTGCTACAAA